GCCCAGCTAACCAATCACAGCACACCCTGGCCCAGCTAACCAATCACAGCACACCCTGGCCCAGCTAACCAATCACAGCACACCCTGGCCCAGCTAACCAATCACAGCACACCCTGGCCCAGCTAACCAATCACAGCACACCCTGGCCCAGCTAACCAATCACAGCACACCCTGGCCCAGCTAACCAATCACAGCACACCCTGGCCCAGCTAACCAATCACAGCACACCCTGGCCCAGCTAACCAATCACAGCACACACTGGCCCAGCTCACCCGACACGCACTGGTCCAGCTAACCAATCGCGACACGCACAGGTCCAGCTAACCAATCACGACACGCACTGGCCCAGCTAACCAACCACGACACGCACAGGCCCAGCTAACCAATCACGACACGCGCTGGCCCAGCTAACCAATCACGACACGCACTGGCCCAGATAACCAATCACAAAACACCCTGGCCCAGATAACCAATCACAACACACATTGGCCCAGCTAACCAATCACAACACACCCTGGCCCAGCTAACCAATCACAGCACACACTGGCCCAGCTAACCCGACACGCACTGGTCCAGCTAACCAATCGCGACACGCACAGGTCCAGCTAACCAATCACGACACGCACTGGCCCAGATAACCAATCACAAAACACCCTGGCCCAGATAACCAATCACAAAACACCCTGGCCCAGATAACCAATCACAAAACACCCTGGCCCAGATAACCAATCACAACACACATTGGCCCAGCTAACCAATCACAACACACCCTGGCCCAGCTAACCAATCACAGCACATTTCGTATTTCAGAAGGTGGGCTTTCATTTGATACAGGAACTATTCGAGCCGTTCATGCCAGACTGGGGAGAGAGGTGTTGTAATAATGTAAAATATGTGAAAAATAATGTGTTTTTCGAACAACCTATGAGAGCCAGTTCTAGTACACCCCCAAAACAAAATCAAGATTTTGTAAAAGAGCATAATAGGACCCCTTTAATTAAAAAATGCATCAAGAGAGGAAAGAATAACACTCATTCAACAGTGTTTTGGGGTCTTTAAGTGCATTTCACTTTATGAAGATTAGATCATGCCTTCAATATATGCCGTGATAAAAATGCAAAAGAAAAAGAATAATATCTTAATCTTTCAGTTAAAGACAATCAAACAGTTATGTTATGTTGCAAACAGGGAGTCTGTAAATCACATGTGATTCTTTCTTTAACAGATCTGTTCCTATTACTGGTGCTCTGCTGCATGGATGGCTTATTACATCAATCACCCTCTCTACACACCGCCATGTATGTAACATCTCACTCAAATGCTCTGCACCATGTTTATTGTCGCTTAAATTATTATGGTATGTTAAATGCATTGAACCGTTGTTCTTAAAGCCAGTCTGTTTACATGCAGATTATGGGGAGAAGCAGGTGAAGGCAGCACTGGGAATCTTTCTAGTAAGCACTTTGATGGCACTGATTTCTGTCATGTGTCATGTATTTGTCTCATCAGCGTTCTTTACTAACTGATTTGTGATTTTTGCAGTTCTGTCAACTTGGCAGCTTCTCGATTCACGTGGCTCTGCGCAATCTCAAACTACCTGGTAAGATCTATAAAAGAAATCACAAATCTCAAGTCAACTACTCTGACTTTGTTTATATAACGCAATCAATTGTTCTTTATGAAGGCTGTAAGACGAAGAAGATTCCTTATCCAACCAAAAATCCTTTTACATGGATATTTGCACTTGTTTCATGCCCAAACTACACATATGAGGTGAGACTCATGGCTGATTGCATTGTGAGTGATTCCATGTCTTTATAGAGTTTTGCAGTGATTATGATTATTTTTGTAGGCCGACATTTAAGTTGACATCTGTCTGGTTCTCTTGACAAAAACCCTTTGGGATTTTCCATTGGCTTTTGGATTATTGCAGAAAATATGCTCAGCGGCCAACAAAAGTTTATGATTCTTACACATTTTGTTCATCATGATAATCCTCACAAATGAAAACAGATTTTTATCAATTTTAAAGCCTAAATACAGTCAGCAAAATGCTGAATGTAGGCTATAACGAACTGCAGCATGGGCATATTTCACCCATAAATGAGACTTTGGTGGAAATGTACTCACCCTCAAGCCATCCATGATGTAGATGAGTTTGTGTCTTCATCGGAACAGATTTGGATAATTTTATCATTACATCACTTGCTCACCTCTGCAGTGAATGGGTGCCGTCAGAATGAGAGTCCAAACAGCTGATAAAAACAAATTCTTTGTCTTTATTTAAAAAAAAAAATTCCCTGAAAGTTTAAGTTATAATAGTTTGAAAGAGTGTGATTATAAACACAGTGAGGCTGTAAAAGTGGACTAGTATTTACCTGTTTGGTGTGATGATGTTTAAAAGTGCTGTATGTAATTTTTTGACAGTACTGAAGCATAAAAAATAGGCTACACTGTTTGCAGATATTAAAGAAACATGATAAGTTTGCTACTCGTTTCCCCAAAAAACAACGTTACAGCCAGTTGATCCATTTTGAAATGCGTGTTCCATGTCGGAATGTCCAGTTTTGTTTTGATCTGTGCGATTCCGCCCACTTCTAATATACCCAATTCAACACCCCGGGTTTGGCTGAAAACACAGCTCTTTGCAGTCAGTGGAAGCCAATAAACTAACTGGGTCAGAGATGGCAGATTCTACCTAACCTAAAACAAATATTCATTACCTGTTGCGCTTGTGTTCTCAATCTGGCAACCCTCATGAGTGTCGAGTCTGAGGAGGAGGGAGCGGGAGAAACAATATTTTGAATTTGGACTGCAGTACCCATTTCAACCGCTAGCTGGCAATGCTGCATACTGCAAAGGCAGCCTCTGTAGTCCCAGTTATCCACTTGTTAGCAACTGCCAAAAATAAATAAATTAATAAAATAAAAATAAAGACAAGTAAACGCTTAAAAAAACCCACAAGGGGGTTTTACTGATGTATTTTATGTCATGGAATAAAATGTGACAATAAGCTTGTGTGAACCACATACCTTATTTCAGGCATTTCACCAAAAAAAAGCCTTAGACTTTGGACAATGGAACCAGAAGAGATACAATTCTAACTCATTTCCAGATTTTGGCCTACAAAAATATGTCATCCCTGCAGTACTCTAAAGATCTCCTTGACAAGAATGTGTCCCGTGTGAACGGGTCCTCTAATGAAATGCTGACCCCTGCTGGTCTCATTGAGTATAGGCCTAAATAACAGACACTAAAGCTGCACTGTTGCTGTATTTCTGTAGATGGGATCTTGGCTCGGTTTCACACTCATGACCCAGTGTGTCCCTGTGTTGTTCTTCACTGTGGTGGGATTCATACAGATGACGGTTTGGGCCAAAGGAAAGCATCGCAGCTACCTGAAGGAGTTCAAACAGTATCCCACACTGCGCTCCCCTATCCTACCTTTCATCCTATAGCAGGAAAATACAACACTAAAAATAAGATATACAGAGGGGTTTTTTTTCTTTTTCAATCAAATACAAGTCAGAGTTTTGCTAGCTTACATATATAAAGTCTTATATATATATATATCAATGTATGAAATAAATAGTAAATTTTGAGGTACTGTAATATTGTATTTCTCAAGTAAAGCTGTTTTATTTTAATGACAAATTAAAAATATACAGTATATTGTATTGTTTATATACATGAATTCAGAAAATTGTGCAACATTTTGGAAATAAAAAGATATTGAATTAGCAGACAAAGTACCACAGCCTAGAAATAAAAAGTGACTCTTTTTGTCTGAGAGCTTCAGTCTTTATGAGATGTGACTAAAGCAATGATGTGAACTGAAGGGCAAATCTGTTCCTTTATTTTGAGGTAAATATAACACACTTAATTCCTTCTTCGAGGTGAGACTGAAGCAAATTAATTTGTATGTAGCAGATATCCATCACCTATCAACAGGGCCGGAGTGGGAGTCATTTTCAGCCCTGGGGTTTCATGCCTTAGAGCGGCCCACTTTAGTTCACGACTGACTATAGCTATTACAATAATGTAATTAAAACTTCAGTATATAAGTCTGCAATAGCACACTGTTCTCTACAGACTTGTAATTCATTATATTTTTCTACAGCTTTCGTTTTTTTATTATTATTATTTACTGGCCTTTTCAGCGCGCCTTTGCACTTTATTATACATTTTTTTATCTATTATTTTTTTGCTCGCATACCTCCAACTAAATATTTGTAGGCATACTGTACCATAATGTCTGCCTGCAGTTAAAAAGTTCTCAGAAATAATCACATTTGTTTTGCTTAACCTATATTCTAAAAATAATTTTGATGTCATACAAAAAAAGTCATCGGCCTGAGTAAATTGTACCATTATAAAATCGTGACCGCACAAGTAGTGTAGTAATTTAGGAGGTGAAAATACTGTGACATTACATACATACAAATGGCAAGAAATTTGAAAGCATAACAACTGAACGTCTATGAAACGTCTAAGTTGTGCACTTAAATTTTTTGAACTAAAATGGCTATTATGTCAACCATATAGCCTATGAATTAAAGAAAACTTGTGGGCTGAGTGTGGGCTGCTTCTGGCGCTTGGATTTCTACTTCAGTAAAATGAGGTCCAAGTTTAAGAATGTGCTAGAAGTAAAAAAAAAAAATGTTAATTTTTTAAGTGCAAGTCCTGCTCGCTGTGATTCCGCTTGGTCTTAAAGCCTTCTTCAATCGGCTACGTTCACAAATAAAACAATATTTTGCACAAAATTAATGAGTAATTATCAATTGAGAATCTGTTATTCATATGGTCTGGTCATATGGCGTATGCCTGCGAATATGGGACAAACTGTGTTATAACTTTCATACGGGACGACGCTTTGATGCCTTAAATACGAGCATCCATATTCCGACCCCATAGCAGTGGCATGACAGTACCGGCCCTCACAGCCAAAAAACAGACCGGCTCCCGATTAGCCAATCCGGGCCTGCCTATCAATCACTTCCAGGTTGTGTTATATTTTGCGTTAGAAATTAAGTCTGGTATTCATTCTTGCCGAATAAAAGTTTTCATTTCTTTCTTTCAAAAAAAAAAAAAAAAAAATTATTTTTTGAATCACAATCAACTATGTTTCTATCTCACTATGAATGCCAATATGAATGCTTCTCTCAGAGTAAATGTACTGGCTGTGCAGTGCTGGAATTAAAGCATCAATAACTCACTCCATATCTCTGCTTAGCAGGCAAAATGCATAACAGAAAAGACTGATGCCACAAATGCAATTTCAGATTCTGAAACTGGAATTTATTTCCTAACTTCGCAAGACCATTTTAAGACTGCTGTAAAACATCGCTGAACATCGTACATTTAATTGGACAGGAACAATGTTTATATAATATTGCGACACTGTAAATCATACCTGACAAAAACGGAAGGACAAAACACTGGTGAATGAAAAGCTCCACCGTAGACAAAAAATAACACTTCTACTAAGACGAATGGTCCCGTCAGCCCTGCGACGGATGGATAGAAGGACACCGACAGAACAGAAGAACAGACTGCAGGGTTGAATCATGCGGCATGTCCTCACACGGAAGAAGAGAAGATAAGCTGAGGAGGATTGTGCAATTCAAGTCTTAAAGAGTGAACGTTTCCCCTCATTTCGTGGCCAGCGCAGGAGAATTTCCATCTGTTTTCGCTGAAAACACAAGCACTATGAGAAGAGACGGCTGTCGTCCTGAAAGTGGCTTCTCTGCAGCACCTTCACATGATTCTCATAGATTTTAAGCGCAGGGCCGAGTCTGATCGACAGACCAGTCAACACGTCACTGCGCTGCATCAGCAGTAGGGACTTCCCATCTACTTCCTGTTGGAAGTGAAGATACAAATGTGTAAATACTTTTACTCAGTAAGGACACAGAAAATTGATCAAAAGTGACAGTAAAGGTATTTATAATGTTACAACTGATTTCGATTTCAGATGAATGTTGTTCTTTTGTACTTTCTATTCATCAAATAGTCCTGGGGGGGGGGAGTGTCACCGTTTCCACAAAAATATAAAGCAGCACAATTGTTTTCATCACTGATAATAATTGCTTTAGTAGCAAGTCATCATATTAGAATGATTTCTGAAGGATCATGTGACACTGAAGACTGAAAATTCAGCTTCGACCTCAATAGATTACATTATAAAATATAATTACAACGTAAAACAGTAAGCATAAGATTGTAGACTTGTTTAGATTTTAAATTTCCTTAGCCAACTTATTCACATAATTACGGCCATATGATTGTAAGTAATATCTATTGAGGTTTGTTTAAAGTCACCATATAACTCATACTGATGCTTTTTTTTTCTTTTAGTCAAACAAGCTCTATTTCTAAAAACTACTCTAGCTCAAGTAGTTGGATTTTCTTGTTTTTGGGAAAAGAAAAATGTTTAGGATAAAGTAATGATTTCATTATCATAATGTGTACAGTTGTTTTTAATTCCCAGTATTGTATTCCTATTGTTGTTATTCAATGGCGACTCTTGACAGAGGAAAGCTTTTTTTTTAGTGTTCCTACACCTTTAAAAAAAAATACAAAATTTCCTGAAATTGCACTTACAAAGTAAATGAATATTTTAGTGACATGACATGTGGCCAAGTATGGTGACCCATACTAGGAATTAGTGCTCTGCATTTACCCATCCAAAGTGCACACACACACAGCAGTGAATACACACAAACCGTGAACACACACCCGGAGCAGTGGGCAGCCATTTATGCTGCGGCGCCCGGGGAGCAGTTGGGGGTTCGGTGCCTTGCTCAAGGGCACCTCAGTCATGGTATTGAAGGTGGGAGAGAGCGCTGTACATTCACTCCCCCTACCTACAATCCCTGCCGGTACGAGACTCGAACCCACAACCTTTTGGGTTATGAGTCCGACTCTCTAACCGTTAGGCCACTACTTCCCCTGCACAGAGCTGAGCATAGCTAGAAAAATAAATATTCACTACAGAATTTAATTCATTTCATTCATTTAGATGAACTTTACCTGGCCTGGAAATAACAATTTAAAATGGTTTTTCCAAAGCCATGGGAAGCCTAAACTCAGCACAAGTTAAAGAAATGTCCTGCACATTATCTTTGGCATGAAAATAATATATTTTGCATTGTAAAATTAAGATTTCATTTTTGCTAGGCAAACTCATTTTTCCATGCATTTCTTTAGGCTTTGGGTTCAAATGAAAAAAAAGAAAAAAAAAGATGTGCAATCACTGCGCTCAACCAACAGTTCGTAATGGCTTCGCAAGGTCCGCACTCACTAGTTTACTTCCTAATCATTTGTCGATTTTTTTATTATACAAAAGGCTTTGGGTTCAAATGAAAAAAAAGAAAAAAAAAGATGTGCAATCACTGCGCTCAACCAACAGTTTGGGTGCATAGATCAATAAAAATCGTAATGGCTTCGCAAGGTCCGCACTCACTAGTTTACTTCCTAATCATTTGTCGATTTTTTTATTATACAAAAAGCACAAAAATGGATCAGTAGACTTTGGGTTAAAATATGCTCTTGACAGGTTTGGTTCACTACAGTACTAACCTGTGTTCTGAAAGCCAGCGCCTGCTCAGGGAAGCCCACAGACGTGAAGTAACTGGCCACATCAGCCACGCTCCAAAGCAAAGGGTCCTGCCCGATTTCTTTCTTTACCACATCACTGAGAATGACCAAAAACAGATTAAAGCCTCATAGTTTATGTCCAATGGTGTGAGTTTGATGGCACATTGCAAAGTGTTTGATAACATTACACTTATTCCGTATGATGCCACAGAAATGACACACTAAGTTTAAGTCTATTTATTAACACAAGAAGACACAAAGAACATGTTGGCTGTTACTCACTTTCCAATATTCATCCCTCCATTGTTAATTTCTTCCTCTGTTGTGCTCTTAGTGCACATTTCACCTGAGAAAGCACAGGTTCAAATAAAAATGTAACATCCAATGAGTTGACAGATACGGTGTGAAATTTAAAGAGCACGGGCAGAATCCTCACCCTCCTCAACAGGATCAGGCCCTCCGTCTGACTTCAGCGCCTCGTCCTGATGACAGACAGACACAATATGACGCAGAGGAACAGGACAGATGTGCTGTGATTGGAGGCGCAGGGCGGACATGCTTACCGGCGCGGCTGTGCAGTGTGACAGCAGCGGATCCTCGACGTGAAGAGTGGAGAGACAGATGGCCGCTGGCTGCTGCACGAGCGCCACAGATCCTGTGGGTTTCAACGACAGACACTGCCAACTCAAATCTCTTACACATTTAACCTCGGCTTCTTCTGATGGAGGCCTGTCACTCTCAACAATTATTCAACTCTCCAACTCCTTGACAGGCAATGCAATGCCTGACTTTGGCAGAAAATGAACGAAATGAGAACAGGAATTGTAACAGACTGATGGGTGCAAACACTTTACCCTGTCAAAATGTGTGCTTGTATGTTTGTCTCTTTAGACTTACAGTACCTTTCTAACAAATTCAGTGAGAAAAAGATGTATATTCAAGAAAGACTTGATTATTTTATTAGTCACTTAAGTGTAGGAGAGCTCAAAAAAAAAAGATTACACAATCATCTTGGAACATCTGCGACAGGGATAAAATAAGGTATGCTTATTTATAAATAAATATAGATAAATAAAAATTGGCCACTAAAATTTTTCTATACTGCAAAAATATCCATACTTTTAAATGACCCTTTGGACAGACGCAATTTGCCATTCTTAAGATCAAAAGAATTCATGCAAATTCAGCAATTTGTTGCATTGTTTGTGAATGCTTGCGTTTTTCTTTCTGGTTTAGTTTGGTTTATTTTGACGCTTTAATTTTTTTTGTTCTGTTTTTGGTTATGCTCAACCAAGGCTGCGTGTTGGAATGTGAGTGGATGCAATAACAAAAAAAGTTTTTTATCATTCATCAGCAGGAAAAAAATCATTCTGAAAGTGATTCCAACGATATCGTTTCTCTGTGCCTTTATCGTTATAGCTGTGGTGTGGACTCTGCGATTCTTTAATATTGAACTATATCGTTACCGTTGTTTTTATAGTTATCGTCCTTGATGTGAACAGGCCTTACGTGAAGTTTCACAAGACTTGCTCTTTAACTAATCTTGAACTCATTTATTTGAATTACTATCTCTATTTAAATGCTGGTTAGTTTGGCATTTTATCTTGAGAAGTTCATTTAAAAAAATGACCAACAGGACTTGGGTACCTGTGTCTTGCTGGGCTTCTGGCTGTATGTGCTCAGATAGGATGCAAGCGCTGTCGGTGTCCTGCCGCAGAGCATCATGGGTAGGAGAGTTCTTTGAGGATGTGGGTGAGGGAACAGGCTGACTGGCGTTACTGCTGGTGATGGGACTCATGCTGATGCCCGAGTCAGCGGTGCTCTGAGCGCACATGGCATCCAGACTGCTCTCATCCCCCTCCTCGTCCATGCTGCTGTCCATTCCCGCTGTCGTGGACATCTCGTCCTAAAAAGATTGCAGCATTATTATTATTATCATGATCACTGCCAGTACTGCATAGAAACGAATGCAACATGAGGATTCAACAAAATGCCTCACGTGTGCCATTTGAAACAGTGTTTTCTACAGTTTCTATGGAACTTTATATAAACTATCTAATAAAAGTAGATACACTACACTTTTATTCATCAGGGATGCATTAAATTGATCGAAAGTGACAGCAAAGATTTCGAGTTCAAATAAACGCTTGAACCTTTTAACCTTCTGTTCGTCAAAGAAAGATATCTTCTAAAATATACCGTTTTCAACATTGATGATAATCATAGATGTGTCTTGAGCATCAAATCAGAATATTAGAATGATTTCTGAAGGATCATGTGACACTGAAGACTGGAGGAATGAAGCTGAACATTCAGTTTTGATCACAGGAATAAATTACATTTCAATATATATATATAAATAAAAACAGTTATTTTAAATTGTAATAATATTTAGCAATAGTATTATTGTTTTTACTATCTTAATGACCAAATAAATACACCCTTGGTGAGCATAAAAGACTTCTTTCAAAAACATGAAAAAATAAATCTTTACTGTTTGAACAGTAGTGTATAAATAATCATATACTGTTTTAAAATAATACTGGCCTCTAAATAGATTAAACCCCTTTTACTTTGATTACAAGCAGTATATTTTTACAACTCCAAGGTTTCAACACAAGTCCAATATTGCAAAAAATGCTTTTCCCTGGCAGTGGTTTAAAACATCTCATATTAAATTAGCACGATCTTCGTGAAATTCTAGTACTGTCATAGTTTTTTACTGTTAAATGACTGAACACAAGAAGAATGACTGAGTCAACTTTCTAATGAAGGGCAGGCAGATTTGAATGTTTGATTCTGAAAGGTTGAATGTTTTACACAAATGTCCCCATTTTTCTTGGGCCAAGTTGTGCGTTTTAAATCTGGCCGGGTTTTTTTTTTTTTATTCCATTTGCTGTTTTATTTATTTTTGTTTCGCAAACTGTTTTGTGTTTCCTAACTGTTTACATTTTTCTGAAATGATAAGCTATTTCATTGCTGACTCCCATTATGTCAACTTAACCCCCATTTAGTGTGCCAACCTGCCCTGCTACTGGTTCACTGAACCGTCCGGTGCAATAACGCAGGAAATGTTCACAAGACCAGGAATATTTCCACTAAAAAGCATAACAAATACCAAGATGATGGGAGGACGAAAACATCTACAGTATTAGCACGCAAGCAGGGGCTTTGAACAGGACTTCATAATGATTAGCAATACTAGAACGAACCAGTATTTCACATTTAAACCAACAGATTTCGACAACCACACTTTGTGATTATGCTCAATCCGTCGCTCTGCAAAACTGGATTATCATCGACTCGAGGTTCAGTATCTGAAGGCCGGGCGCACTGTTTATTCAGTCGGGAGTGAGCCAGAAATGCCTCTTCGCCCGTTCTTTCGTACGCTTTGAACCCCGGTTTTGGTCGGCACAGTGGTGTTAGGAACGTTACAAACACATCGAAATAACTTAATCATACAGTATGAGGAACATTACGGAGTGAGTTTGCTGAACCGAGGCGCGCTGAACTCCGACTCACGCGCTGAGAGCGAAGCGGGGCGGGGCGGGCTCATGAATATTAAGTTACGCCAGGTTCGTCAGCGCCCCGAGAGCGAAGCGTGGTGAGTTCATGTATATTAATGAGGCACGCCACTGGCGAAGTTCACGCAGCCTAGTTAATATTCATGAACCCGCCCCGCTTCGCTCAGAGGCGCGCTGCCTGCCTGAGACAAGCGCGTCCCAAAGCAAGCTAATGTTAAACGTGGCTAAAGCCGACATTTTCTCCCTTAAAACACATCCAAAACTAACGTTCACCTTTGCTCACATGTTAACCCGCGATAAATAAGTACGGCAAGGTCACAAGCCGCACTGACGACTTCGGTCGCACTTCGCGTTCACGGACAGAAAGGACCATCCAGCAGCGCGTCTAATGACTTGCGCTTCAATGATCCCTAGCAATGGTCGTGTCGACTCGGTCACGACACGCACAAGCGCAAAATATATATATATAAATAAATAAATGGTCTCTCGCCAGTACGTTACGTTCAATAATCGCTAATGCAATTGTCTCCGGTGTCGCTCCTTGTGCGAAATGCGTCAGTCGGCTGAACCGTGATGTTTTTGGTGACTTTCCCCCGCCGTGCAAAAGCGAGTTCGGATTAATTGACAAGCATTGCATCGCGAAAGTTGAGTTAACGTTACCGGACTCATCCAGCGCACACAAAAACTCGCTCCGAAAGATTTGGACCTCGCAGATCGAGCGCTTCCATTGTTGGCGATTTCCCGACGCTCGTGAAGCATCGCGCCGCTCCCCGTCTGCGCCAGTCCGCGCGCGCGCGTCTCTCTCTGTGTGCGCGTTTGCGCTTGCTTTCACGTTCGCATACGCCGGAGCACTCCAACTAGTGATAAAAACACCAATACTTCACATTCCGCGTCACGTTTTTGCCGGAGCGCAGCCGCTTCTCGGTTCACTTACTTCCATGTCCTCCATGTGATCCTCATCCACGGGACCCAGAGCGCTGTCGCCGGTGCTCCAGTCCGCGAGAGAAGGCTGTTTCACCGCACACTTGCTCTGCTCGGTTTTTCTCCTGCCTCTTAGCACCTTTGCCGCGTTGCGATAGGAAACCGAGCCTTTATAGTTGACTTTGAGCACCGTTTGCTCCTCTATCAGTTTCTCTAGTTCTGACCGGGTTCGGTCCCAATCCGAGCCGTGTCGTCTTTTGACCATCCTGCAAATTCTGTCCAGGTCCGGTCGCGCTTTCCTCGACCTCAGCGAGTCTATGGAGCCCAGGATCCATTCGCGGTACGGCTCAGACATTATTCCTAATGGGCTTCAAGCTTGATAGAGTGGATGAAGTGCGTCAGTGTTGCCTTCGACGTGACGCTCGCAGTCTTTCGAGCCGCGGTGCGAGCGCGCTGGGGGGAAAAAACGGAAACATACTGTACGCGTGCGTTGATCGCATTGAGCGCTTTTAAGGTGGAATGCGCGAGATGCGCGGCCCGCCGCTAGGAGATTTAAGGAGGCGTTGCTCGGTTGCATGTTTCCGTGCCGCTTAAATGGCTGTTGTTGCTGCTTTGGAATGCAATACTAGCAGGCTGCATTATTGCGTTTTGTTTTTAAGTTACACTTGAATAAGTCCGTTTTATGCAATGATAAACTTTTCATTTACGTTCCTTGTTTAATCCAGCCACTGATTTTGGAATCAAAATGGTAAAAATTTTCGAAGGAAGTGCGCTGAGTGGAATATTAGCTACTTACCGCATACTACACAGTATATACTGTACACTACAAATAGTTTGTGAAACAAGGCGGTATGCAACAATACATATTTAAAACAGTAGTATGCCGAGCTCACTGTGCTCCGTGTTTAATCAGGTGAGAAACAAACATCATAATCATTTGTTAGTTTTATTTTTATTTTAATATATATTATATATATATACACACACATACACACACACACAAACTCTAGATGGCGCAGTCCGATAGGTCTAACTCAATCTGACCTAATGACATCATCACATGGCACAGCTGATTGGTTCTCTCCTGTATCGGTAGCCAATGAGCTCGCTCCTCAACATTCAAATACATGACTAGTGCTTGCTGTAGCAGTTGCAGCTTGCTTCAGAAACCCTCCACCTTCCCCAGCTCCACCTGTATAGATCTGCTACGAGGTGATTCATGTATGTTATATGGGAGTTATTTCATGCATTGTTATATTTGCAGCAGCAATATTTCTTACATGCTTAGTAGTAAGTCTCGGTACTTGCTCTGCCACAACAGCAGCGTAGCAGCTCTATTCCGCCAAGACCAAATACATTAACATTGTCATGTATATTACCATGACAATCCCTCAGAGTTGTCTTGACAGAAATATATATGCATTGTTCTGTCTGTTCTGCATTGATTATCCACTTGATCTTTCATTAAAAAAAAATCTAACCTTTAATTAAAGTAAAAAAAAGTGGGTAAGTAAATATTAAATATATTTATGGTAAATATTTTTCTCTAATACAGTAAGAGGACGTGTGTCTATATCATCCTAATGCACGGTGAGGACTAGAGTTTGAGTGGCCAAGGATCACAGCTGGAGAACTGCAGAAAATAGTTGAGTCTTGAGGTCAGAAAGTCTAAAAAAAATGTTGTTTGGGAGGGTTTCAAGAAAAAACTAGAAAAGAATACGCTCTTATCCAAAAACAAGCTCCAGCATATTTATTTCCTAGACATGACTGGAACATTAAACGGGACTGGGTTCAATGGTCAGATGAAACTAAACAAATTAGCTTTTTAGCAGCAAACACTCAAGATGGGTTTGGTGCACACAGGGATAAAAAGTACCCCATGTGTACAATGAAATATACTGCTGTATTTTTGATGTTGTGGACCTATATTTCTGCCGGAGGTCCTCAACATCTTGTTCAGATAGATGACATAATGGATTCGATTAAATTTTTTTAAACTGACTGTCCATGCTAGAAATCTTATAATTGGACATGGTTGGATCTTCCACCAGGACAATGATCCACAAACAAACATCAAAACCAAAACAAAAATGGGTCACTGAGAACAAAACCAAGCTTCTGCCCTGGCCAACTCAGTTCCCTGAGCTGAACCCTATAGAAAATGAGTGGCGAACTGAAGAGGAGAAGCATCAACATGGAGCTGGAAATCTGAAGGGTCTGGAGAGATTCTGGATGAAGGAATTGTCTCTGATCTCCTGTCAGATGTTCTCTAAACTCTTCAGGCATTATAGGTGAAGACTCAGAGCTGTTCTCTTGGCAAAAGGAGGTTGCAAAAAGTATTGGATAAAAGGGTATGATTAATTGTGACCAATGTGTATTAGAGAAAAATATTTCATAATGAGATTTCTCTCCCATTTTAAATTCTTATCCTCCAATGAAAGGTTCGATTTAAGCAATTACATTTTTATATATATATATATATATATATATATATATACCTAAAGGATTGATACAAATTAATGTTCACAACCTTCTTTGATAATATTTACCAAGGGTATGAATAATTTTGAGCACAACAGCTTATATATATACACACACACACTGGTACATCTCAAAAAAATTGAATATCATGAAAAAGGTCAATATTTTTTGTCACTCAGTTCAGAAAGTGAAACCCATATATTATATAGATTCATTACACAGAGTAAAATATTTCAAGCCATTTTTCTTGAAATTTTGATGATTATGGCTTACAGATAATGACAACCCAAAATTCAGTGTCTCAGAAAATTAGAATATTACATAAGATCAATAAAAAAGAGGATATTTTAAACAGAAATGTCAGGCTTCTGAAAAGTATGTTACTTTCTATGAACTCAATACTTGGTTGGGCCTCCTTTTGCATGAATTTCTGCACCAATGCGGCGTGGCATGGAGGCAATCAGCCTGTGGCACTGCTCAGGTGTAATGGAAGCCCAAGTTGCTTTGATAGCGGCCTTCAGGACATCTGCATTGTTGGGTCTGGTGTCTCATCTTCCTCTTGACAATACCCCATAGATTCTCTATGGGGTTCAGGTCTGGTGAGTTTGCTGGCCAATCAAGCACAGTAACACCATGGTCATTGAACCAGCATTTGGTACCTTTGGCAGTGTGGGCAGGTGCCAAGTCATGCTGGAAAATGAAATCAGCATCTCCATAAAGCTTGTCAGCAGAAGGAAGCATGAAGTGCTCTAAAATGTCCTGCTAGATGGCTGTGCTGACTGTGGACTTCAGAAAACACAGTGGACCAACACCAGCAGATGACATGGCAGCTCAAATCATCACTGACTGTGGAAACTTCACACTTCAAGCAACATGGTTTCTGTGCCTCTCC